AAATAGATCATGAACAGGAATAGCTGTGATTAAAATGTTCCCTAAACTCCTGGTAGATCTCCCAGCTCTCTCCTTTCTCTGCTCATGTGTCTGTCTCTGGAGAGAAGACAGACCTACGACATCTTTGCTGCGGTAACAGCTCCAGGTTTGTGAATGCTCCTTGCATGGGTAAGTCAGGACTTCTTTCCAGGGCTTGCAGATGTGTATCACAACTGGGGTACATGAGAGAACATCCACTTCTCACTCCATAATATTCACAATGCTTCTCCCCCATTATTTCTCTATAAAATCAAGCAATTTGTCCTTTGGGATTTATTGTATCTTGCTTTTATTTTTCTTTCTCCAGCAAATGTGCAAGACTCTGGAATCTCAGTGTGGGCAGTTCTAGCCAGGCTGAGGTTTCTCAGCTATGCCCCCTCCAAGTGTGAAGAAAAGAAAGAAATGAGGCTGTAGAAAATGTTAAGACCTTCAACAACAGATGGCAGAGGTAGGGAAGAGGTTTCATTTCCCTGGAGAGGGGGATTTCCACATTCCAAAAAAAAGTAAACTCCAAACTTTTGAGCTGTTACTAAGTTCTGCTGTTTTATGGAGCAAGTACCAGTAAGGATTTGCTGTGGAGAGACAGCAGTTCGTGCTGTTTCACCCAGGGCTGGTATGTGTTGTACCCATACGGAATGCAGGCTGCAAAGTTCAACTCTGACTTATCACAGGCAGCTGCCTGCTCAGTTTTTCCATCTTCTTATAGTCAGCAATTTCTTTCTGTACAAAGGTGCCGCTCCCCTGGCCATGCACACACCCTATAGATGACTCAAGCTATTTAACCTATGGGCTGGGAAGAGACATGAGAGAGAGAGAGAGACTTGTTCTCATTTCTATTTTTAAATGCCATGGAAACACTGAAATTACGATAATGAATAGAAAAATAATTAACTGGTCTGTGGGGCGCATTATCTGTACATACATATATACCTTTTTTTTTTACTACTTGCCTTTTTTTTTTATCAGAGCAATCAGGTTTTGATGAGGTGAAAGGTTATTCATAACAAGCAGCTTGTTATAATCACCATGAGAAATAACGAGCGTGCATTGTGAGCACACATCCTGCTGTTCAGACTTGCCGTTGCTACGATAACAGAAACAAAACACCAGTTTCGGGTGTTCGCAGCTTCCGAGGATGTGGTTTATGTGCTGCTTGTGATAGTCTGATGACTGAAGATGGCTCTCTTCCAATAATTTTTGAATTTTTTCTGTCTCTTAGAAACCCTTTTGTTGTGAGTACTTGTGAGGACATAAGTGATGACAATGAAGTTTATTTTCCCAAAGCACAGGAAACATCCTGGATAATCTGAAATATGCTCTTCATTTATTTCTTTACCTGCATCTATTCCTAGGGTCTGTGAGCACAAGTTCTACTAATCAGACAGAGGGGAAGACATGGTTTAAGCAGGGAAGGGAGGACAAATGAGCTTGAAAACAGGATATTTTTGAAACAATCACTGTGACTCTTAAATAAATTAGTTGTCTTGAGACAGCACCTAGAATTCAGCACCCATTGTACCAGCTGCTGAGCACAGACACCAGGGAAGGACAGCCTCTGTCTATCCTTTGCTATCTGTTCTCCCCCATGGATACAAAAATGCCATGAGTGTTGGGAGGGATTCCTTTGCTCCACACGTCATGTTTGAGCTTGCATTAAGCTCTGCTGCCATAACCTGTACTTATATTCCCATGGGTGTGTTACAGAAGGCAGTATTTTGGGGGTCCTGTGGCAAACACCCCACGCCGCTTGGCATTCCACTCCCATGAGTTCTCTCACTCCAAACTTCTGACAAGAGGAGCAGTCCCTTGCAATTACTGACTCAGTGCTGAGGTGACACATCCCTGGGCTGCAGTGCTGGGACAACCTTGCTCTCCAGGGAGAGGTGAGAATTAAGGATGTGCTTGCGAGGAAACAGAACAATGAAGACATTTTTTTCACAGCTGACGTTTGGGGAAGTAGCACTTGCAGCTGCCACAGCAAATTAAAAGGATGAATTTGAGAATTTCCTGCAAGAGAGTGAAAAAAACCCCAACCAATAAACAAGCTAACTTTTGTCACTTGTGTTTTTGGGGAAATTTGCTGAAACTGTTTGCCAAGAACCACCATGGGATAATGGATAAATTATAACGCTGTATGTTCCTGACATTATAGGGACTCTGGGACCCATGAGAAACTGGGCAAGAGTTTAAAGTACCATTTTAAAACACAAGAGGCTGGCCTGATGCTTAAATATACTGAAGTAGGGCTGTTCTGATGAGCCTAAAAATCCTGCAGCCAGCTCTCAGCCTTAAAATGGTAAAAGCACCCAGCTTTTATTTGCTCCTTTCGCTTCTTTCAAGCAACTGGCATTGCCTCCTACGATAAATGTCCTATATGATGTACACTTGGGTCTTGCCACTCTGGGTGGATGCAGGCAAATAAATTCAGTGCTCTTCCACTCTGAGTGCTTGCTGCCCAGTCAGGAACACTGCTGTTGTCAGTGGGGAAGTAATTCATCCTGCCACAACTAGGCACTGTAATTCTCTGAGCTCTGTTTCCCAGCTTTCAGCTGTGAAACCTCTGCCAACATTCACTGCACCAGAGGGAAGGGGAAAACTGCATCACAAAAGCATCTTTTGAAGGCAGCACAAACCCAGGAGTACTTGTGAAGTGTGTTCAAAGTAGTTCAATGTAACATTTCAATGAAAGTCACATCCTGGAAAATGCAAACATAAAAGAATAAGTTGGAGTCAAATGTAAAGGCTTTAAATCATTTTCCTGTACCAAATTTATTGCACTGACATAAGGATATACCAGGGAAGACATGCTGCTCTTAACCCTGATGTGCAGCAATTGCAAACTGCATTTGCTTCACTAAAAAACTTCTGTAGGGGATGCAAAATGGAGTGGAAAGAGAAGTGTATCTGCTCTAATAGTTAAAAACTGGAGCTTCCTTATTTCTTATTCCAGGACTGCTGATTAAGCTCTTCTGGTCAAGCTGAACAGCAGAAAGATCATTTGGATGAATGATGACAGTGTGTGTTTTGCCTACCTCCCCTTTTATACTTCCTAAAAATGCACAGCACTGTTGCTGGCAATAGGGATCAGCAACATGTCCTCCAACATTAAGACTTCCCGTGGAGACAGAAATGTGTTTACTAATCTGGCCCTCGTGTCATATTTAGGGCTTGCCAACTCCACTACTGTGATAAGCAAAAGAACAGCACACACATACCATCAAAGCCTCAAGACTAAGGAAAAAATTAGCTTCCATTACAGGCACCTTCTATCCACTCCTACTTAAGGGGAGCAAAGACAAAAGGAGGTAATGAAACGATGATTTATCACCTCTAGCACTACCCACTACTGAGGAACAGCTATGAAGACACCGTGCTGAAATCAAGTGGAAAAAAATGATACCATGGAAACTGAACAAAAATAATAATTTGCTGCTACATCTCTGTCCTAGACCAGGAAACCCTTAACCTGCAAATTGCCAGATGCTCAGCATATACTGGTGAAGTCTCATCACATTTTTGCCTTATTGCTCTTTTCCTTATACATCTGTTTCCAGTCATGTTCAGAAACAAAATTCTGCATTGGCCGAGTACCTGGCGGGACCAAATACACTTTTTATGATGTTTTCAGTTTCTGCTTGAAGTGTGCTGATGGTATATACATACACGTTTAAATGTTTGGCTAGTGTGAGGATAAAGAAGCAAATAGGAGACAAGTAGCAGAGCCACAGCAGAGTCTAAAGGATGTCTGAATCCTGGTTAAGCTCAAAGGTGGCTCTGAAACAGAGACCTACATGCTGTAGAGAAGAGAGCAGGGAAGGGCCCCCCAGGAAAACGTTAGGTACAGGTGCTCGGAATCACAAAATCACAGAGTTGTTAGGATTGGAAGGGACCTCTGGAAATCATCCAGTCCAACCCCTGCCAAGGCAGAGTCACCTGCAGCAGGTGACACAGGAACGTGTCCAGGTGGGGTTTGAATGTCTCCAGGGATGGAGAGTCCTTAACTTCCCTGGGCAGCTGTGCCAGTGCTCTGCCATCTTCAATGTAAAGAAATTCCTCCTCATGCTGAGGTGGAACTTCTTGTGTTTTAGTTTACAGACATTGCTCCTCGTCCTGACACTGGGCACCACTGAAAAGAGTCTGGCACCATCCCCTTGGCACTTTGAGATATTTACATGCATTAATGAGATCCCCTCTCCGTGATGCTCCAGACTGTGGAATTCGAGTTTCTGCAGCTTGAGAGAGCATTGCACGGCCCGGGATGTATCCGTGTTCTCCTTCATTAGGATATAATGGATATACTCAGTATCTCCTTCAGTTAGGTTACGAGGCCTGGAGGCTGTAGGGAGATCCAAGCGCCGGCACTGACACCCACTGCGAGCTATGGGAAGTGACGGACTCGCCTTTTGTTTTATTGAGTCCCCCACGGGCCTGCAAATAAGCGCGGCTGCCTCAGTTTCTGTGTGTGTCGCGAGTCCCGGAGCGCCCCCTGGCGACAGCGCTGCCCGGCCGGGGAGCCGCGGGACCGGCGGGGGCACGGTGCCCAGGCAGGGACGGCGCCGGGGCACCGGAGCATCGGTCGCCGCCCCGCCTTCCCCCCATCGCGATTGTCGCGACGTGAACCTCCAGCCCCACTCGCGGGCTAAGCTTTTTGGGCAGGGCGGCGCCCCGTAGCCCGGAGACCGCGCGCCGCTCCGCAGCAGTTGCCGTGGCAACGGGCGGCGAAGGCGACCGCCAAGCCTGTGTCACGTGACCCGTCCCTCCCCACAACCTGTCCCCTTCCGCCGCCATCTTGGAAGTTGCGTCAAGATGGTGGCGCCGGCGCCTTAAAGCCCCGCCTCCGCCGCCTCTCGCACGGCGCGGTTACGTCATCGCGTTCCCGCCGCCCTGAACCCGGAAGTGCGTCTTCCCATTCGCGGGCGTGCGGGGCCGGCGGGAGCGCCCGAGCCGATCCGAGCCGAGCCGATCAGGCGGGGCGGAGATGGCGGCGGCGGCGGCGGAGCTGCAGGGGAAGTACCAGAAGCTGGCCCAGGAGTACTCCAAGGTACCGGGGCCCGCAGCCCTCGGCGCCGCTCCGGGCTGAAGCGCTGGTTTCCGTGGTAGCGCGGAGTGCCGGGGCCCAGGGGTGCCTCCTCTGGGGAATGAGGCAGAGGCAGCCTCGGGGGGCACGGGAGGTGCGGGTTTGCAGGTGCCGAGGGAGCGCGGCGAGAGGCAGAATGGCCCCGTCTGCAAGGCGTCCTGGAATCCAGACAGCGGGCTCAGCTGTGCTAGGGAAGTGAAACTGGCAGGTTTCCCCTTGTTCTCCACTTCCCAGTCGGGTTCGAGGCTCGGTTTTATCCGCTTGGGTGTGAACATTTGCCGAGGTCTCAGCCGTGTAAGCTCGCTCTGGCCGGCGGCTGTGGGAGCTCGGCGGTGTCAGTGGTGCTTACAGCGTCTTGGAAGTGAACAGGACACTTGCTCCCACACTTATCTGCTGTCTGTCCCCCTTCTTCTGCCCTTTTGCATCCTGTTTCTGGTGCTGGCTGACACAAGGTTGGCAAAGATGTGTAGCCCATAGTGCCTCTTCTTTCCAAGGTGCCGTAGATGACTTCTAAAATGGTGGAGCCTTGCTTAATATAGAGCCCTTCATTCTTTCGTCTTCACTAAAAGGAAGAGGAGACTCTTGGTCTTGAGTGGCAGAGTCCTTCAACAGCCTTGGGGAAGAAAGGCAGCACTTTGGTTTCATGTAGCCCTATATCAGCAACTGGCACAAGGCACTTGTCTGTATTTGACACTTCTCCCAGCTTACAGAACCCTGTCTTTAAATACTCTTCTTGGAACTGTTCTAAATTGTTCTCAGATAGATATCCTTTTAATGCTTCCACAAAATAATTTTAAGAAAATTTAATTTACTTTGCAGCTCTGTAGGTCACAGAATTCTCATGTCTTGTTATCAATAGTGGCTGAGGCTAAGATAGTGGAGGGATTTTGGTGCTTGTTTCCTGAATGAGCATTGGAAATGGGGACTTCTGACTATAGCTTCCAAAAGTTCCAGCTTCTGGATCCTTTCTTTTAGTATCGTGGCGTCCAGAAGCTTTCTTTGAGCTTCATCATGCACTTCTCAGCCTGTGGCATTTACCTTCTCCTTTGTGGGAACTATTTTTTTTCCATCTCATCCCATTTCTCATGCAGTGTGCAGTTCATTGTGGGACTCCCCTTTGCAGAAACCTCTCCTCTTTGTTGTTGGCTGCTTGTTGTGTACAGGTAGAAATGGAAAGTAGCCCTGGAGTAGCCTGGTCACTTAATGCTGCTGTGAAAGCCACAGAGAGAGGTGGACAAGTTTGACAGACTCAAGCAGTGCTGGGGGAAGTCCCTGCCAAAGGATTGCTTTTCCTCTTGGTTCACAGACCCGTCCAGAAGAAGGATGAGGAGAAGAAGAAACTCTGAAAACACACAAGTTGCAGCTTCTGGCTGTTTCATGAAGGAATAGTCAAAGCAGCTTGTGGCAGCCTGTGTGGGTCACACTTCAGCTGGGGTCTCTGGGTTGCAACAGGACTGAGCTGCTTCATTCTCTGCACCTGATGTGTTCCTGCAGTAGCAGCTATGGCACAAAGACAGGTGTGGAAAACTACTGCACTGCTCCTTCTTGCTGGGGAAACCCTGTGCTTGGAAGTTTTTCTGTGGTACACTGGGAATTTTCTTGTCTTGCCTTTGTGATGCCTGAGCAGCACAGTGGGAGTACTGCTGGGGGAACAGCTGTGCTTAGCAGTGACTTCTGACCTTTCAAATACACCCAGTCATCACACTGAAACAATGAGCCACTGCTGTTTAACACTGAATCTTGCCTTTTTTGCATGTGCCAGAGGTATTCCCACTGTACAAATCCTTTTAATTTATATCTACAACAGCTGGACTCACACATGTCAAATGAATACAAACTGCCTATGAAGAAACTGGGATTCAAGCAATTTTCAAGAAATGTGAAGATGGAATTGTCAGTATCCTCATTGCTGCAGGGGTAGAGGTATTCTGTGAAGTGACTGAGAAATAGATTTCTTGAGTATCACTTTTCACTGCAGTGATTTTAGCTCAGATTTTGGGTACTGTGTAAGTAAGGCTTAGAGGGCTTTTCCTTCTATGCTTTTTATACCTTTCTGTGTCAGTCTGTTCTCTCTGGATCATCTGCTGCCACTGGTAATAAGTAATTTTGCATTAAACTCCTCTTGAATTGATACTGATTTTGACTTTGTGAGTCCTGCTTATGTTCCAGAACCAGTTATAAACAGTTTTGGGGAGAAGAGAAATAGCCCTGAATATGACCAAAACTTCATTAGTTAAGGAAGAGGGTGCAAGTTTTCCATATTTGTTCCTGGCTCTTCAGATCTTAACTATATTTAAGTAGCTGGTCTTTAAAGGTGTATATTGAGTAAGAAGCTTGTTCTATTTGGCCAAAATGTTCAGGTGGTAAAGTAACTTCTTGTTTCTTGGCAAGTCAGGTTATGAATTGGATGCTTTTTTCAACCTGATACCACTGCTATCTACCTGAAGAGAATACTTGAAAAAGCATTCACACCTGGCACTCTCCTGAGAGAATGTGATGCTCTCTGCACTTTTTCATGAGTGACTTTTATTTATTTTGTTGTCTTGCATAGTTACTGGTATCTCCTGTTTTTCAGCTTCGCGCTCAGAACCAAGTCCTGAAAAAAGGAGTTGTAGATGAGCAGGCAAACTCTGCCTCACTGAAGGTAATCTCTAAAAACTGCTCATGTCAGGTGTACTAGGCTGTGGCAAAGTAAGTAAACAGGGGTGCTTTTTACTAAAAATGAATGTCAGTAAAACCATGAAGAAGGAACTTTATTTTAGTAAAAGAATTTCTGTTTTGCAGCTAGCCTGTTCTCTGTAAGTGCTGACTTTGTAAAAGGGGAAGGTTGATTCTTGATGATTATCCTATAGAATTAAATAGCTATTTGGGTGTGATCTGTGGTCAGCTCAAGGAAATGAAATACATTTTTTTACTTTAGAAACAATACTTTTGCCTCCTCAGTGTTTAAAAAGTGAAGCAATTTTCTAATTTGTTCTTGTTTTTAATGTGTAAAAGTAAGTGTGAAAATGTTAAAATTAGTTTTTTTCTGTCATTCAGGAACAACTGAAGATGAAGGATCAATCACTGAGGAAACTGCAACAAGAAATGGACAGCTTAACCTTTCGAAATCAGCAACTTGCCAAGCGAGTGGAGCTACTTCAAGATGAACTTGCATTAAGTGAAGCTCGAGGCAAAAAGAACAAGGTATGTGCTGAAGGCAAAAAAGACTTGCTTAGCAGAAATCTGCTCCTCACCTGTCGAAACCTTATCCTGATTTTTAGCAGTAGGCATTTTATGTCAAGGGTTGAGCTGAATGCTCTTGTCAGAACTTGTGTTATTTTACCTGATATTAGTGAAAATACCCATAAAACAGGTATTGATATATACATTGATATAGACATATAAAACATGTTGGGTAATTCTCTACTCTTCTGGTCTGTCTAGACTGATGCTGAATTGCTGTCTTCTTTTATGGATATTTATGAAGTATTCAAACAACTGGGAAATACCTTGGAGCTCTGTGATTAGTCAGATGCTATGCAGAAAGCTGATCACTCCTCATTTCCCATGCCCACCTCTTTGCTTTGTAATTTTGATGTTGATAGTTAACTCTTCAGCTTGCTGTCATAGCTTTTCTACGTGAATCTTGTCAAATGCTTTGAAATCTAAATTTTCAGCTTGTATTCTTTATATTATTTCAAAATGACAGAATTATTTCAACACTGATCTTTCTCTGCCAAAAATGCTTGCTGATTACACCTAGTGATACCATATTTTAAGACCAACTGTGCCTTCTGTAGGTAGCATCACAATTCCAGGGGTGGTGTGATTAGACTTAAGTAGTTCTCAAGCATCTCTTGCTACTTTCCTCATGAGGAAACCCCTCTTAACTACTGCTCTCTTTTCTTTTTGGTGCTGTCTTTTCTCAGTGTGCTGTGGTTGTCAAGACAGGCTTTATAGAAATCATTCAATTGATTAGTAATCTGATCATCTTCCTTACTTTTCCCCTGAACTCCTGCCCTTTATTCTGCTGTCCAATTCCTTGACGAGCATAGTACTTCTTGACTACGTTATTCATGCACTACAGCAGATTGTTATTTCAAATGCAGTTTGAACTTTCTGTTCTTTTGTTTCAAATTGTGTTACTGTTTTGCTAACTGTGTTTCCAAATTTTGAAGGATGTCAGCCTGTCTTTGGTAGCTTTGTGAACCACTGCCACTGGGTTTCTTTCCTGTTCATCTGTCAAAATGCACAGCTTTAGTTCTCTGATCTGTGTCAGAGTGAAGTCCTTTTAGAAGGAGCAGAACATGTGCCCATACCTCAGGTGGAGTTCATAGGCTGGCATCAAATACAGAGGTGACTTACCTGCCCTACATAACCCTAGTTGTTGAAGTTTGGTGTTGAGTTTAAATGCAAAGAGTCTCCCCTGTGTTTGGTGATGATAATAACTCTTCAGCAGTTTGGTGCATGGGATTCACTGGTGGTCTGAGTCTTTTGGATTAAATGAGTAAAAAATGAGGGAACAGTTGGCAGAGGGATATGTATGGTTGATGGCCAGGGAAGGCCCTGTGGTTTCCCTGGCACCTTATGCTACAGCCTGCTGAGAGCAGCCTGGCTTACACCTGGGCCCTTGCTGAGCACAGATGTGCCTTACACACAGCCACCAAACCAGCTGAGCCCGTGTCTGCAGGTTTTGGATTACTGACTGCATGCAGCATTCCTGTGAATTCAGATGGGCTGCTGCCCATCCATGTGATAGATTCCCTGTGTGTGTGAATGGGACACCTGAGTGGAGGCTTTCCCAAGGCAGTTTTGTACCACTGTAGGGTCACAAGGGTGTGAAGGAGAGTGTGCTGCCTTGAGGCTGGTGCTGTGTGCAATATTCACGCCTTTTGACACATCAGTCAGTGTCAGCAGGACACTGCTGGTGTGCCCCTTCTGGGAATTAGCTGTGGGAACTGTTCTCACAGAACTGGGACTTGGAGATAATTAGTGCACTTTGTCTCTTATAGAAAAGTGTAGAATCCTCATCTCACCTGAGTCAAGAACAGAAAAGTGTCTTCAATGAAGATCTTCAGAAGAAAATAGAAGAAAATGAACGACTGCATATACTTGTGAGTGAAATTTAGTTTTGCCTTTATATTTGGTTCAGAAAACTGGTGATACAAAGAAAGATTTGGAAAGTAAAGTGCTGTCTGAAAACTGGTGGGTTTAGAGGCTTAGTTGTATGCAAAGCAGTAGATTAGATCAGATAGTTTGTTTATAAAGATGTTCACTAGGCAAATAAAGTATTTTGACTTTGGATTTTTAAGGCAGTGTGTGGAATCACATAATATGTGTTTTCTCATTTGGATATTTGACTTTTGGAGACAGTTGCCCTACTGAAAATTGCCTGGTACTGGATGTAAACTTCTTATTAGTTCATTAACTGTTTCAGAATTGCTTTCAATTTTAAAATATTTTCTGCAAGTTGCCATAATTAAGTCAGGAATTACTTCACCAAAGTGAAATGCATTTCACTTTATAAAACTTGAGAAACTTTGTTTTTATTGAAGTACTTTGTTCCTGAATCTTTTCTCTGTAAATAAAATTTCTATTTGTCTGAGAACTGGTAATTGCTGTTAACCTGATCTGGCTAATGAAATTGGAGTAACTTAAAGGACTGGATTCAGTAGTAAAATGAAGCTTTTTTAAGAGCTTTGCTTTTCTTCTTGTAGTTCTTTGAAGCAGATGAGCAGCACAAACGTTTGGAAGCAGAGCTGAGGAGTAGACTGGAGGTTTTGGAAATGGATGCTGCCGAGCACCAAGCTGTGGTGGACAGCTTAACGAAGAAATACACAGAGACCATAGAAAAGCTGCAGAATGATAAAGCCAAATTAGAAGTAAGGAGTTTTTCCTCTTGCCTGCAAGTTTGAAAAGTTTTGAAATGCAATGTCTTGCTGTGTCAGCACTTACATTGTGAGATTATCTTCTTGCATAAAGATCAAGTCTCAGACACTAGAAAGAGAAGCTAAGGACTGTAGGCTTCGAACTGAAGAATGGTAAGTGTCTTTACTTCATATAATGAATATTTCATTGATGTGAAGAAATAATTGCTGTGAAACATTAGCCGGATTATTTTTTAAGAATAATACCTTTTTAAAAAGGGGTGTAATTAAAAGACTTTGATAAAACTCAAATTATATTATCATGAAGATAAGTGTTAGCAGTGCAGGTCAAGCCTCCTTTTCCTTTTCTATGTATGGAACTAGACAATTCCACAATTTCTGCTTTCAGTAAGAGCAATTTTTCCTCCAAGCTTTTTAAATAGCAGTGATGTTGATGAAAGCTTGAAGAATTTATTTGTAACGGAAAACCACAGAAAGTAAAAACTTGTATGAAACAAAGATATGTGAGTTTGTAAAAACTACTTCTAAGAACAAAGTTTGAGTAACAAATGCTGAGAGAACTGACTGAAAAGAGTTTCAAAAATCCCCCTTCACTGCAAAAGCTTCTTGAACAATTGTTTTTGCTTCATGTATAATGTTCTCAGCTAGAATATTTGAAAGTTTTTATCAGAGAATTATAATGTTAGTTTTGGAATATTTTCATTGTCTTGAAGACAGGTTGTCTCGAAAATGTCGAGTTGAGGACTGTGGGCCAAATCGAATTAGGATGCATTTCTCTGGAGTTCATTAAGCTGCATTTTTTTAGAAGATAGAGATGCAGTATAGATACATAATGTAATGAAGAAGATACATAGTGAATGATCAGATGCAGAGTTCCTTCTTTCACATGGTAACCCTGAAGTGTGTACTTTAATTATGTTGATAGATGTAAAGATACTTGAATCCAATAACTCCACCCAAGTCAGGGTTTCACTAAAAATTACTTGCAAAAGAGGATGAAAGCTGTGTTTGGCTGCTGTTTGTTTTTTTAGTGGTATTTGAAAAACTGTAGTCTTAATCTGCTACTATGCAGTTCAGGCCTTATCTATCATGTTCTGTGGTGACTGGGTAATTGATGTCATTGAAAGAAGTTGTCCTTTACTATTTTAAGTTATACTATATTAAGTTTTTAAAAGTTATGAAGCCTGACACTTCATTGTAAACATTGAAGTCACTGTCTGTTAAACACATGGCAGGATGTGTCTCTGAGAATAGTGCCCTTCTGTTTTCCCTGCTTTGTCAGGGGAAGGGATCCATTTGCCTCTGACACCCACACTTTACTCAGAAAAGCCAGGGGGTATGAGACAGCCTGCATGCCTTGAAAATTAAAGGGCAGAATGTAAGGCAAAACATGTCAAACTACTTGTTTGTCAGTCCTCTACAGTATGAAAAGGAAATATCAGTACATTTGCAGTTTGTTTTGGAGTTAATTTTCTGTCATGCTCTGTGCTACTGCAGTAGCTGCTGTACAGTTTCTATGCAATTTTGGAGCTGCTCTCCAAAAAAAATATTTGTTAAAGTGCATGACCTACCTATTGGCCAGTTTCTTCTTATCTTCCTTGTCTATTTTGGATTATTTTGCTTTGTTAGAACTGATAATTTTCTGTGTTTCAAATGTTGTAAGAAAAGAAAAAAGACCTGTCACTTTGACACCTTCTCCCCCCCCACCCTCCACTATATATGCAGGAGTTCTAGATGTCAGATAGGAAGCAAAACAGTGAAGAATTTGGGGGCCTAAGTTGGGTGAGGTGTGGAATTTGGTCTAAATCAATAACGGAGTGTTCTTTGTAGACCTATGTATATTATGCTGGAATATATTATTGTTCATCTCAGGAATCTGTTCCAATAGATTATATTAGTAATCTTAATTGCTTAGGTTCACATGTATATACACAGTCAAATGCAAGCAAAGAACATTTAGAGAAAAAACACTTGCATCAGAAACAATTGTCAAGTCTTCTCAGAACAGGCAGTATCATAGCAGTGTTCAAATATGGGGTTTTGGAAAGCCTTTGAGGTATCTCAAATAAGGATGTGACATAATTAATTGAATTATTGACAACTCATTACCTCTTATTGGAATACTGCATTGGATGCATAGTAACTAATCTGGAGGCCCTTTTACCTCCCCATCCAAATTCTAGTAGAAAAGAATGTCTACATATAGCTTATATAATAGTTGCACAATAGGGAAATAAGGTGAATTTTAGCTCTGAAGTAAATGGAGCTTCTCAGGAATGGAATTCAGGATTTACATACAAGTTCATGGTAACTTTCACTGCTTTTGTAAGGGATTAGGATTCAATGTTGTGTAAAATATGAGACAAAGAAGGACAAATGACTTCCACTGTATTATTTCAATCTAACTTCTAGAAGGAGACATACCTATACACTCAAGGGATGCTTATAGTGAGATATGGTGTTGGTGATACAGATGAAATTTTAAAGGTTTACAATGTGTGTGTGTGTGTGTGGTTTTTCGTTTGTCTCTTTGTTATTTAGCCAGCAACAGCTAAAGAATCTTCAAGCAGCTTTGGGCAGTAGACTGGAAGAATCTCTGTGCATAATTAATGAAAAAGTACCTTTTAATGACACAAGTACGTATTGCCTTGGTCTGGGTATCTTTGATTTTTTGGGTATCCATCTGGAGGGAGCGCTCCTTATGAATTAAAATGTATTAGCTGTAAGAAGTGTTGGACATCTGAACAGACACTTGGAGGAAACTGTAGTAAGTATTCCTGATACTTGTCATGGTCTTCTTCAGTAATTCTAAAATACAAAGTTTACAATTCTAAATACAAGTTTTCATACATATAATGAAAGTTGAAACTTTTGAAGGCTTCTAAGTGATTTGCCACTTGTCTTGCTTAGTGTTGACAGATTATTGTAAATGATGAAGGAACACTGTCAATTTAATGGCTGCTCCATAAAGATTGGTTACTCATCTCAAAGAGTATTATTTTTGGCAGGATATATTCAAGAGTTGCAGTAAGTTAAGTTGGGGGAAAACTGGTGGCAGCAGAGCTATTGCATCAATAATGGTCTGCACTTCTTGCTAGTGGGGAATTTGTCAGGGTGTCTCATTGATCAGAAAACACACAGAGTAGTTCTTACCTGAAAGGTGTCTTAGACTTATTTGTCTCTTGATGGGGAAAAAAGCCCTTTTTTAACCTGGGGACTTTTACCTGAAGCAATGTTTTTCTGCTTCCTTTCCAATTGCTGCTAGATCAGCTGAAATGCAGAGGATCCCCTGGAGTTAGGAGTGCTCAGCCTTTGCATGGCTTTGGTACAAGCATGGGTTAGTATGTGCTGGGTCAGTCTGCACTGTGTGCTTTCCTGAATAGCTGAACACAAGGGTGGGCAGGCACTGTTGCACTCTTCTGAACCTTCAAGATGAGGAATAGTGAAAAAGCTGAAAGTAGTGAAGAAGGAGCAGAGAAGTGAAAACAGGCTTTTGAATTTCTTGTGTATTTCATTGGTGGCTTTTGCATTTTTCATTCAGTTTAAAACCTGATGACAATGTTTTAAGTAGCCTTAGGTTCTCCAAAAGCTGAATCTGGCAGGTGCTGCAGGGGTGAGTGTTCCAAGCTCTCCACTGGTTTGGCAATCCAGTGAGTCTTGGCTTAGGAACACCAGATCATCTCCTCTTCAGGAAATGCTGACTCCCATACAGCACATCATGCTTAGGTGTTGGTGCCTTGAATTGGTATCCTTTTCACTTCTCTCATTTTGCCTGGTATCTGCTGCCTATTTCTACTTCTCTGTCTCCTTTAGCTTGCATTTTTTATAGGTGTCTACTATTGTAGCAAGAACTTTGCTAAAATAATTTATCTGCTCATTCAGCTGCCATAGCATAATGCCTTTGCTTGTGTAGTAGAAAATACTGCGAATAGAGAACATCTCTTTAGTGATAGATCAATGAAAGTCAGGAGATGTTTGTTTGCTGTGGGTTCCAGCTGTCTTCCTATAGACCCTGTAGTTGGTTTCAAGTGTAACTAGCAGCTAATTTCAATAACAATCAAATGACTCCTGAGTATGATTTCCAGACCAGAAAAAGTTTTCTGAAGCATTTAGTTAGAAGTAGGATCCAATAATTTTGGACAGGTTTCTTTTCCCTCTAAATGTAACTACCTCTTTCCATGTGTTAATAGCCAAATGTGAATGACATAAAAGGAATAAGAAACTGTAAATTTCCTTTGCAAGCAAATTTTCAAGTAATCTGGTTGTTGTTCAACTGAATTGAGAATGGATGTGATCCCTATTAAATCTCTAAGATGTTGTAAGCTGTTCTCTAGGTACAAATAGCCCTCTGCCCCTCTAATTGTGGCTGCTTGTAACTGAAAAATCATTCTAGTTGCTTCATGACTGGAGAAGAAAGCTGAAATACATGGAGAGTATATATTAGTCTAAATTATCAACATGTTAAGTGTATACAGGAGCTTTAAAAAACCTTGAAACCATTCAAAAATATATTAGTCTTACTTGGCCCCTCCTTGGAATGTAATTGAAATTTGAACATAATCTTGACTTCCTTACAAGTGATTTCTTTTAAAAGATTCTTTCACTCTTGTTTGTGATGCATATTGTTCTTTGAGCAAGAGGAGTCTGCTCATATCTTTCAAATTCAGGGTCTTCAGATGATTAAATTTGACTGACCATCTGAGGCAAGCATTGACCTGCTTTCCCTACACTTAATCACAGAAACTCTTAACTGAGGATATTTAGGCCTACCTCATTGGAGGGAGTTGTTTGTATCTTTTTAATTAATATTGCTTACATAAACTGTAATATCCCTGCAATGATTTTTTTTTTAGATCAGTATTTACCAAAAAATATCTTTTAAAATCTCCCACAATTTAACAAGTTCATGCAACTCAATTTTTGTCCTGTAGGATCTACTCGATACAATGCTCTGAATGTACCATTGCACAACAGAAGGAATCAGGTAAGTGCTTCTTGTGGTTTCATGTCTGAAATAAATAAAGCCAGTCATTATAGTACCTGAAGTGGCAGAAGATAGCCTGTCTTACTACTGTCATGATATTCTGAGATCATTTCTGCCCACAGAACCTCTGCACTTTTCAACAGGCTGTGTGTATTGTTATGTTGAGGAGTCTTGTTAAAGTTATATGAAATATTATTTTATCGGGTCAACCTTCAGTAAGCTAGAAGTTGGAACATCTAACTTTTGAAGTTGATTAGAACTGCAGTACTTCAGAAGTCTTTTCTTGAAAAAAGGTAGGTTTGGTATCCTGAATTTTCCCTCAAACTGAGCTTCTTTAGTCACATCACTTGAGCCCAGAGAATGTATGCACTTGTAAACTGCACGCTGGCGTGTGCACTAAAGTGCCATATTAGTTAACATTACTTGTCACCAGTCACAACCCTTTCAAAGAATAAATCATGTCACTTTGAGATCTCTGCATAGTTCATTTACATTTTGTGGGATACTTCTTGCCAAAGCATCTCTTACTTGCAGTAAAATAACCATTATATATTTGAGTATTTTTAGAAAACAAAGTGTTTCTGTTCACTACTGTAATTTAATGAGATTCCTTGTGAATATTGTTTATTCAGTATTCAAAAATAAGCATTGGTTTTCTGCAATGGCTGAATATTTTAAAGTTTTTTAGCAAAATAGCAAATCAGAAACCTGTATGCAGTGAAAATTTTCATGTGTTGCTACCACTGAGGGTGGGCTCTACAACACTGAGTTTTTTTCTGTTTCTGTTGTGTGTCTCAAGCTTTCAGGTTAGTGCATTAACTTGCTACTGCAAGGTATAAAATGGTTGCTTTCTCCATTCTTCAGAAGTGCCTGTAAGGAAACCTTTTTCCTAGTAATGTCTGCTGTGTGAACAGGTGACCTGCTGTACAGTTTTGTACAGGAAATAGCCTTAAATTTCAGGTTGCTGCTGCTGAGTTCCAAGAAAAATCTGAATAACTGCATGGGGACTTTCTTCTTTTACTGTTTTCTGCCAGCACTATGTCAGGCAACTTCATGCTTCAAGCTCTGCAGTCTTGAAAATGTTCCAGGACAGATTTTTATGACTGGCTTTGCCAGTGGAGGCAAAATGTTGGTGTATTAGCACAGGCTGCAGTGTAAAGGGCAGTAATAGTGTCTGTTTCCCTTCCTTGCATGGCTAATTAACATACACAAACTGAGGATAATGACTGCTTTAATTACTTGCCACCATCCCAGATCCATAATCAAGATTGACCTGATTTAACAGTCCATTGAAGCATTAAGAGTATGTCTCTGAAGGATAAGGTATTCTTTGCTGAAATGTCACTATAACATTATTCTCTTTCCATAAATCCCAACAGAGAATAGTTTTCTTCTCTGTTGAATTTATATTCCATTCTGTATTAATTTCTTTGATGCCTTCCTGCTGTACTAAAGGCACAGAAACAGCCTTAGTCATGAGCAGCAGCTCTGTTGTGTCCAGGCGAATAAGAATGGAGTGTTCTTGGTGAGAGAAACAGACGCCTTTAATTCTGGGAGAAAACATCATTGGTTTTTTACTAATTAAATTGAGGCTTCCTTGCAACCTGGTGTTGAGCTGTTGTCAGCAATTAGTCTGTTGCTCTTTGGAAATTTCAGACATGGTTTCTGTAATTGTGCTGACCTCTAAGTGTTTTTGTGGCTTGCAAGTTTGAAAAATGCAGCAGAGGCAAACCATCACCAGTTGTGTGAAATAGAAAGATACTTTGTTGTCAGCAATGTGTCCTTCTGAGTAGCATTACAGTTGATGAATAAAAATTAAGTTAAACATAATTGTTATGTATTTTAGGCTGAAATAATAACAAGAAGGAACTTACTGATAACGATTTTTTTGGTATCCAAACAGGGTTTTTTTTCATATTTAAATAGATCCATGCCAAATACAATCATTTTATGCCTGTCTTTACAGCTGAAGCTGCGAGACCTTGCTGGCCAGGCCATGGCTTTTGTCCAAGAACTTGTAACAGCTCTCCTGAACTTCCACACGTACACTGAGCAGAAGGTACAGATCTTCCCCATTGATTCTGCAACAGACACAATATCACCCTTAAATCAGAAGGTAAAGTTTACACACTTCATCTACAAATATATTCAGTTATTTAGACTTTAATGAGTGATTCCATGCAAACTTGCACCACCTTTACTGGAGTGCTGTGTATCCCTGAGATCCAGCCCCTCCTGCATGAGACATCTCTGCTCCATGAATTCTGTGAATGTGGGTGAGGTGTAGCTGCAGAGAATCCTTTTCCCCTGTGCCTCTGCTAGAAGAGCGATATGATAATCAAATCAAAACTCTGCTTTTTTGATTGCTAAGTTGAAGTGCATTTGCTGAAAGTTCAGCTGGAAGAAGGAGATGTTGAGACAGAATGTGGTCTTGTGTTTTAAGTGTCTAGCTGTAATATTAAATAAAGAATAGAAGGTAGACATATGAGGGAGAGAACCTGGGCTGTGTTCCCTTGTCAAAACACAACTTTATAATCTGATTTTGGGCTGCTTGTGTGAAGATGTTTCCTGTTAGTGTTCTGAAGCCTCAAGTTTGTAAAGCGTGTTGAAATCAATATGAGAAATCTTACTCATCTCTTTCGATGAAGTTCAGTGGAAAGATTTTCTGAGAGTATCATCCAGAGCTGTTAAGCTTCATGTTTTGACTTGGTTTTCCTATACTGTGAAATAGAGAAAATAACTGTGCACGAGGGTTTGTGTGGGGATGCATATATGTATACTTTGGAACAAATTGCATTAAGATCAGAGTTGACTTCATAGTTTAAGGGGATCTTTGAGTATTTACGTTGCAGGGAGTATTTTGTGATTCTTAATTTCAGTTCAGTGGTTGGTTAGGCTCAGACTTAAGTTGCTGAGGTAAATTGTCATTTGCATTGATCAGGTGGCTGCAGTGCATGTGGTATCAATGTTAACTATCACAAAACTTTCCTATTCTTTGGAAAACCTCCTATAATCTCTTTGCAGGTAACAAATATGCTTATGAAAGTGGTTATCCACTAGAGAAATCCCCTTCCATTTGCCTTCTTAGTTGTTTCAACTGTTTTAGTCAAGAATACCCTCCTGCATGGATTCAGCATACTTTGAGAACATTTTGTTGCTCTTGCCACCAAATGCCCTCAGAGTGGCATGTCCTTCTTGTGAATATTGTGGTTTTGTCATCTTTAAGATTTTTTGGGGCAGGAGTGGTGTCTCTTTTTTTCTTTAATGTGACCATTGTGGTGACTGCATTCTCAGGTACTACTGCAGTTTACACTAAAGCAGTAAAATCAGATTTCCTAGAGATCTCTTATCACAATTTTTTTTTTCCCTGTTTTTTTCCCCTGTTTACCTCCTAGTTAACACTTTGTTGTTTTTCAGCACAGCTGAAACATGCAACTTAATCAGAACCATATTTTCATTTTCCTTTTCTTATATTTGATTCAGTAGTTCAAGCTTTGTTTTTGTAATTTTATATATATATATTATTTTGTAATCTCTTGTAGTCTGCTCTATTGTGTAATCATGATGTAATTCCCTAAATGCATGGTACTTCTCTGGGCTTTTGCTGTGACTTTCCAGCATTAAAGCATCTTTTATTGCTCAATGAATCTGTAGTTGCTCCTGTATTTTTGATTAATTTATCTATTTGCTTGGCAAGTGTTCTCAGTGTGATTTTTTTTTTTAATTTTTCTTTTTTAGCTTACTCCACCAAGTTGGTCAAAAACCTCCCCTGAATATGGTAGAGAAAATGAAACAAGTGTCAGGTAGTGGCTTAGTGGACTTGCACTGATTTATTTTTCCCCAACTCCAGGTCTTGTCTGGTGCTTTCAAGCTATTTTCCCCACCAAACACTCAAAGTAGATGTGGACAATTCCCTGCCAGGTTCAAGTATTCCTTTTCTCTTTAAGTGTTGGATTTCTGGGTTCTGCTGGGTCTACAGCATCATGCTGGATAATTCAAATCCTCTCTCTTGCAACAAAAGTCAGGAGCATTCTGCATGTGTTATTTCTTCCTCCTTACATTTAGGAATTTTCCCTGATTCCATCCAGGTTTATGCATGCGTGGATCAGAGCTTAGCATCTCACTGTTCTTGTTAACACTGTGTTACCGCACTGTAACCGCACTGTAATAATACAAGGAACAACTAAAATCTCTTGTACTCTGTTTGCCTGGGATCTTTAGCTGCCCTTGTGGTGTAAATAATCAAAGGTGAAGGTATCTTTCTGTGGGGTAAAATAAAAACCAGGATCACTTTTAACTATCTATATTAATTTGTGGAAGAAGCTTTTTGTGATACTGAGGTACCAGAATGGAAAGCTGATGGTGTTGTTACATTTTGATTATATGTAAGAGTACACCTTATGTTCTCAGGTCTGCTTTTTTGAAGGCAAAATTAACTATAGGATTTAATTAAGGAATTTTTAGCAAAGTCAGGCAGGTCCATGAGGCCAAAGTTTCATTATTGCCCAAACCTGTCAGTTTTAGAAGTAAGAATTCTCCTGTGATCAGTTGGAGCTCCATGCTTTGCATGCTTTGACTCATGTTGAAAACTGGACTGAACACAGATAAAGACACATCTCTTGCTCTCAGTTTGACTTGGGTTTAGTTCTTCACTACTTGGCACAGCATAGCTTTGCAAATGTTTGTGCTGATGGATGAGGCTGGAGGCAAACAGCTTTTGGGAGGAAGGTGGGATAGTTTATTCTGGTGGTAAATGGTGCATGGATCTAGCCTTAACTGGATGTAATTGAGAAAGGAATGCAAGGCTATTTAAAACTAAAAAGTGAAGGTTTGGTGTGCTGTGCATGGCAGTTAAAATGACACAGGATGCAGTGGCAAAGCCCTAGCCGTGGTTTTGCCTGGACTTGCAGTACTTCTCACTCTCCCTCAAGGTGTGTTTTTGCCCTATAGAAGAGGTTGCTGTACATCACTGGACTGTTGTATCTCATTAATGACATCTTAGGCATCGTTAAAGGGGACAGGGGCTTTGCCAAAATGTCCCTTTTGGTTATTACCTTGGCAGAGTTCACACGAGCCGGCAGCAAGCACCATTTTAAAACCTCTCTGTCCTCAGTTCTCACAGTATCTCCATGAAAACGCTTCCTACGTTCGCCCTCTGGAGGAAGGAATGCTGCACTTGTTTGAGAGCATCACAGAGGATACTGTGACAGTCCTGGTAAGATTTCCTCTTTTTGGTATCCAAAAAGATTCTTACAGAGAAAAAATGCTTACCTGTTGTTTTTTCCTTTCAGGAAACAACTGTGAAATTGAAGGCCTTCTCAGAACATTTAGCTTCCTATTTAGGCTTTTTAAGAAAGATTCTTCCTTACCAATTAAAAAGGTACCTTTCATTTGATAGATAAAACATAGGCACTGTGTCAGGCATACGGCACAAGTATCAGGCTACAACTTAAATATTAAGTCAGACCTTAAAACACTCTAAGTTCTGCTCTGTCTTAAAAGGCTGAAATATTTTTTTTTCTTTTTTTTTATGTTGTTTTCTGAACCTTGAGATTAGGCATAGCTTTTTTGAGGCATTAGGAGTAAAAACATGTATTTTAAAGCCCCTCCACACACACCCTCCCTCACAGATGAGACTTTAAAAATACTGAAACTTTCATTAATGTTTCTTAGTGTTATTCAGTAGCATTGATACTATCCAGGTGTGATAAACTGAAACTGTTAGTGCCTTGGGCCTCTCTGAGGGTTTTTCATCATTGAGTAAATGTAGCAATGTAGTAAAACTTGGCCAGGTGTACATCCCTTCTGTGAAAATCTTTGTTCCTGAGCTGATTGAAGGGAGGTGAATTTTAGGTGCCAAGAACTGCTTTAAGAGAGGGTTTGGACTAAGGAAGAAGAAAAACCTTGATTTATGCCTCATTTATAACTCTTCTCATGCTCCTTAAGGAGCAAAAGAGAATTTATGTAGTAGAGGGAAAAGTCTTGAAACTTAAATTGCTGCAATCAGTTCCTTGCTGTGAGAGTAAGTCATTCCTGGCTTGTGACCTAGGAGTGGAGATGCACATGGTAATTTTCATGTATTGATGAGTTCCTCTGCTATCTTAGCCTTCCTAAAAGAATTTCCTGGTCTGCTGTTGCTTTGGACTGGGGAGGTAGAGAACACGTATGTGCTCCAAAACTCATGAACTTGTTTTTTTTTTTAAGACAATTACTTGCTTTTAAAAAAATAATTCATATATTCCTAGTTTGGAAGAAGAGTGTGAGTCTTCTCTTTGCACAGCTGCTTTAAGAGCTAGAAATATGGAGCTGCACAGAGACATGAAAAGGTTGACTGCAGTCTTTGAGAAGCTACACACATACGTCAGTCTTCTGGCCTTACCAAGTAAGTGTCAGTTCTGGCTTGGTTGGTTACCCTGTGGCTGGTTTTCTGTGGGTTTTTATAGTGTGATTGACTGTGTGCCTCTGTCACCTCTTAATTATGAAATCATTGGTAAATGACATTTTATTACCAATCATCACTTCCAGCCCCTTGTCTTCCTAAGGTTATTACAACTGTCATGGTAATGAATGAATAAAATGAGGTAAAGACTTTGTGTGTTTGTGTGTGGGGAAAATATCTCCAAATGCATCCTAAATAAATAGCAGTAGGAAATGGTTATTGTATAGGTTCAGGTTCACTTTTTGGAGTGGAGAATTTCAGTCTTCACTCTTTGGAAAGGCCTAGATGGTCCTTCCTACAGATGTGAACATCATTCTGTATGTGTGGTTTTTGAGACCAAAACAATTGATATTTATCTAATATGAGTAAAAACTAGGGAACTTGGAAGCCTTTCACTTGCCTGCTCTGCCAAAATTGGATATATGCATATTTGATATTGAAGGGGAAATTTAAGTAAATGAATCTGTTATGATTTATGCAAATGGTTCTAGTAGGTGGAAATTAAATTATTTTCAGAGCTAACTTTTTTCATTCATGGTCAATTCTTAGTGTTGTGATTTTCTTTTCCTTCTTATGTATTACTCTTAGGTACAAGACCAGAAGGACTCCTTAGGACAAATTATGACTTTGTGTTTACAAACATTGCTGCAGGTCTTCATGGATTCCATGACATTTTAAAAGGTGAGAGTTGGGAATGTTGTCTTGTTTCAGCTTTGCTTCTTTCTTGTTTAGCATAGCACATGTGCACTCTCTCTCTAACAGTGCTGAATGTATCATATGTGATGAATCTAGTTTGTTCTACCTTTCCAAGGTGAAAAGCTAAACTTATTAACTGCTTGTTTTAGACATTCATGTGTGGTTTTCCTTCCTCCATTCTGTTAGCTTTGTTCTTCAGAATTGCTGGATTATTTAATTGTGGCTCTCCAGATTTTCTTGAGTAGTGTCACTTTCTGAGCTTCATTGCTCTCCTGAAACTAGCATACGGAATGGAATGCTATGAAATGTACATATTTTCCCTTACATATGTAGCACTGACCCAGTACCTGCTTTCAAAGTGGAATTTTTCCTTCCTATTTTTAGGGTGATGACTATTTTTAACATGAATATATAACCAAAGCTTACAAAGAAATGTGGGTTCTTTTTGAAACTTGGCTTCTTCTGGAAAATGGTTCCTGCATGTCCTAGAATTTCAGTACTATGTAGCTGTTCCTGGGGAGAGTATAATCCACAGAGATGGATTTTTACTAGTCAGCTGTTTAAACATTAAGTTTTAATAATTTTAATCAAAATAGTTTTTTTTCCTTAATAGCATTAATAATATTACCCCATTTTGCAGAGTCCTTGTTTTAAAGAAAAAAAAGGAGATATTAAAGATACTAAAGATTGTACCTCACACAAAATGACACCCTAAGCCAAGAGTTTTGTAGCATAGATAAGAATAGATAAGTTTAAAATACTTTCTACCCCTTTGTATGGCCACTACAATGTAAAGTCAATCCAATGTACACTTTAAAGGAAATACCGAAAATAGAGCTAGTGAAAAAAACTGTCAGTAGAATTCATTAGCTTTCAACAGAAATGCCCCTCTTAATATCTCACACTCCCATACTCGAGAATATTTGATCTCTCTCTTCTTTCTCAATCCCAAGTAGTTTTGAACTTCTTAAGAATACCTCAGTTTACAGTTTGTGGTGGTGATGAGCTGGGATTTCTCCATTCTGTAGTAACAGTACTCTGTTTTAAAATTGGTGCACATTGTTCACTTGTCAGACAATTATTTATTTTTTTTTTATTAGGCCACAGTGAGAATGTACTTACATGATAAATACTTCGTTCTTTTTAAATTTTGGTGTTGTTGAAATTAATATATTTAGGCTAAGATGCTTTTGTGAGTGACTTTCAAAAAGTTTTGCGTTCTTAATTTGGCATAAATGTGCTTTTCATTTTCCAGATATTTCCAAGCACTATAGCCAGAAAGCTGCTTTAGAACAGGAAGTTCCAACTGCCACACAGAAACTCATAACTACAAATGACTGTATTTTATCCTCTGTTGCTGCTTTAACAAATGGAGCAGGCAAGGTAATGGATATATTTGTTTCAAACAATGCCTTAACTTGTGCAGATTCTTAAAAAAAATTAAACTTAGCTGAATGATTTAGAAAATCTCTGTGTGCCTCTGGTATTAACGATCTACAGTGTCAGGTTGATTCTTGAGTTATTTTGAAGTGTGAGTTAAAAACAACTGAGTGAGTGATAAAAGCAGATACTGTGTAGAGGATGCTTTGTGCTAGGAAGATCTAAATCACATGGAAGAGCCTGTAGCTTTTTTCAAAGTCCTTTAAGAAGTCCAGTTTCACTAAATACTTATCTTTTGAAAAACGAATTGCTCCAATGAATCCTTCTGGTCAACTTAATTCAAAGAGCCACTTCTCTTGATGTGTGTAGATGGCCTCGTTCTTTAGCAACAACTTGGATCACTTCACCACCTCGTTGAGCTATGGCCCTAAGGGAGGAGCAGAGTTCATCAGCCCTCTCTCAGCTGAGTGCATGCTGCAGTACAAGAAGAAGGCAGCTGCCTACATGAAGTCCTTGAAGAAGGTTTGTTCAGCCAGCATGCTTGCACAGGGAGAGCGCGGTTCTGTTGATAGTTGGTTATGCCAAGGAGAATACAAACTGAGGATTTGCAGTGTCTGGAATGGAGGAGATTCTCTGAATGACAGGTTTTGGCTGAGGAAATGGAATCCTCAGTGCAATAATGCTACTGAGAACTTTAGAGAGTGTAGTTGCCCTCACAACTGAGGGTATGTGCCAATTGTGTCATTACCCATTTCCACTAATTATTTCTATGCCAAGACTCCAAGGAGAAGAGGGTGGCTGCTTATTTAAATTTCCTCCTGTATTCACCAGGAATACAGAGCGAATGAAACCATATTTTTACACTTGCATTCAATGGGAGGCATAGGGAAAAAAAAAGTAGGTACCCTGGAGAAAATGTGCTGAACCAAAGGGTTGGATGCTGTTAGATCTCCCTGTTGCCTCCATTAAAATTAACAATTAAGTCATAATGTGCTTAGCAGTTGTTACTAAATCACTTCACTGCAATGTCTGTAAAGAGGACCTTAAGATGCCTTTGGTTATTAATAAACACTTGGAGTTTTCTGGGTACTTTTTTTTAATCAGCTGTACCTTTTGGGGCAGTATTTCTTGAGAGTTTTTTTCTACTGCCCAGTAAGCACTTGGAACATGAGGGTTTTTTCCCTTTACTAAAGTAAGGAAAGTAGTAAGAAAATGAAAATAGAAATACTTGTTCTGATCCAGTGTGTGACATGTTTTGAGAAGTTTTGTTTTTATTCTTCTGCAGCCTTGTGCAGATTCAGTGCCTTATGAAGAGGCTTTGTCCAATCGCAGAGTTCTCCTGAGTTCTACAGAGAGCAGGGAAGGTCTTGCACAGCAGGTATTGTGGTATATATTGTACTAACGTATATGGTAGCGTATTTTGTAAAGGTAGACTTGTATCAAAGTCTCCACATTTATGTCTGTGGTCATTTGTAGTTATATATGAATATGCTGAACCTTAACATTAGACTGTAGATGTCTTGTAGAGTTTTGAAATAAACTCCTTGTCTGGCTGGGTTATCTTGTGGAATGTACATGTAGATAGATATGGAGGCCAGGATTATGCCATTGATATCTTCAATTGGAAATACAAGAAGTCAAGTAATCTTTAATCATTAAAATAAGTGCAAAATAAATACAGGAATAAGGCATACTGAAGGATTAGTTTTTAACGTTGTGTACTGATTTGAGTCCTCTTTTGGACTATACAGGAATTATTAGCACTAGTTAAGAGCAGTGATTTATCTTTTCAGTTAGAGTAATAGATTAGAGTATCTATGTATAGTATGCATATATATATGTACATACATATGTATATAATTTTTTTCTGGAAGGTGAAGCGCGGTGGGTAACATGGTATTTTAAAAGGCACAGCAGACACAATTTGTCCATTGCTTCATATGAATAACTAATTAATAATGAGACTTCTTTATTAGCTTGCATACTCAGCCTGTGCTTAACTCATTTTTACTGAACTGTTACAGAAGCAAATCCTTTGGTGATTTTTTTTTTTTTTGTAGTTGTCAATATTCTAAGTGAAATGAATTTCAGCAGAAATACGCAGTGAATGGATGTGTTCTGTTCCATATTTTTTTTCTTACTTGGACAAAGTGGGTGGGTCTGTCTGTGTGAGGTGGGACAGCTGGGAGGGGACAGTTTGTCTTTCTGGCATAAGAAAAGGTAGTGATAGTGCCAGGTATGCATCTTTCAAGTTTCTATAAAATTCTTCCCTGCTTTGGTTTTTCACCTAGTACAATGTTGCCAGTTTTATGAGTTGTTCATGTTTCAAACTAAGTAAATAGTGTGACCATTTTTGACAACCACAGCTAAGCACACAGCTCAAAACAGTGGCTGTTTACCTGCTGCACTTTGTTACCTCACTTATGTAATGGTTTAAAATAATACTGTCCTCAAACATTTCCTGTGTGGGGCTTTTTTCCTCCCTGGGTTCAATAACCTGGACTGTAAACTTTCCCTCCAAAAGGTCCAGCAGAGTTTGGAGAAAATTGCAAAACTTGAACAAGAAAAAGAACACTGGATGCTGGAGGCCCAGCTAGCTAAAATAAAGCTAGAGAAAGAAAACCAAAAACTGAAGAACTCTCTTACTGGACATTTAACTGAAACTATCCAGGAACGTTCAGTTTTGCCAAATGTAGCAGAACAAAAGAAGGAAACCGCAGAAAAGAGTCTGAAGGAACCTATTAAGAGCACCAGTCTGGTAAGTAACCTTTCCCTTCAATAGAGAAAATCCACTTTCTTTAGTAGCAGTGCTGTTTGATCAGTGGAACACTAAAAATGAAAGTCTTTTGACTGTATTAAAAAGCATTCACTCTTGGGGTCCTTGTATTTGCAAAGCTGCTTGCAAATTCTTTCTGCAGAGCTTGGCACTTCTTAGGTTTTGAGACTTTGTTTGCTGTCTTTAGTATTGTGAAGATATTTTTGTAGTTCTGTACTTGTGTAACTGAGGGGGGGGGAAGTAACAGGTGTTAACCTCCTGATTTGCCTATAGTTAGGAAACCTTGCAAGTGGTGTGTATCTCTGTTGGGCCCATGTTTCCAGTACTTTTATTCATCTCTAGGTATGTTAAAGCAAATGGAAGTAGGTAGGTAGTGTTTGTAAATGGATTTAAAGACTTATTAGGGTTAGTTTGGGTTCAGCAATTGCTTTTGGATGTAGCATGTGTTCTTTCCTTGTTCTGGGTTGGTAAATGGCATTTTCCTGTTTACTGTACATATTTAAAATGAACTGGCCTTTCCCCTGATTTCCACTTCTGAAGTGGCATAGTGGTTTTAACAGGAATGTCATCTGTAAGAAATAATCAATCTACTCAGCATTCAATAGAATGCTCTCTCTTTGTTTGTTTTTTTTTTGTCCTCCCCGCTTACCTGGTCCAGGGTAAAAATAACCAGTGGATTGTTTTGAAATCCTCAATTTTGAAGTAAACTGGCGTCTTAAATTTTTGATCCTCTATTTGAATCCTTAGGAATTTGAAGACAATGTTACTCACAGGTCAACATATTGTATGAATATTTCCCGTAAACATAAATTTCTAGTCCTGTTGAGATCAAGGGGGGGAAAAAGCCCCTTTGATTATGAAGATATTCTTTCATGAAACCAGATATTGGCTTACACTGCTCCTGTAGAGTTTTATCAGTACTTACTAGTCAGAGGGGAAAGGAAGGAATTTGGAAGGTATTCAAGACATCCAGGTTGGCTTTCCTTCCTCTTAAACACGACAAGTAATGTTTCAGTGTGCTAATGTGGCTCTGAATTAGTTTCATATGATCAAACAGTTGCGTAACTGTACGAGCCCAGCTGCATCTTGTTGCTTTTATTGCCTTTTCCCTGTGTACCTCATAAGACAGGAGATATATTTTTGAGAGTTGGTGTCAGGTTTAATTCTGTTTAAGGTACTCATGTAACCACTCTTGTTTATGTTGCAGGTGGAAGTACTTAAGTTTGATTTCAGTTTGAACAGTTGCAAGATTGTTTAAATTTAAAGTCCTTCTATGACTGAAACCAAAATGCATACCAAATGGTATCTATTATTTTGCAGTTCTCATTAAGTGTATTTTTTATCTTGTTCTAGATTGGAATGTTGACTGTAACTACTGATAATGCAAAGGTAATCTGTTTTAAACATTATTAAAGTCCATCTGTTAAATGATTCAATTCTGATTCTACTAAACTTATTCCACAGGTCTAATTACCAAGAATAGCCCTGTATAATGACACAAGTCAACCATGTAGTCTTTATATACTAAATGGTCAAATTTCTAGAATCCATTTGTTCCTTAATTTTCTTCTTCTGATACTGAACTGTTACTTGGCCCATGTAAGCATTTTGGAGCAGTGTGAACTGAAGTTGGGGTCTGCTCTCTGTAATTTGAGGAAGGCACTGGTCTGTCTGTGCCTCAATAGCCCAAACTGCATTCCAAGCCTCAATCCTTAACCCTCAAGGAAGGGCTCAAGCTGCATAAAAGACCCTAGCTGCAGTGCCTGGGGTACAGAGCAGAGGTCACCCTGAAACAAGCCTTGAACCAGCCCTCAGACTACATGTTAACTCTTTATTTAGCCCTGCTATAATGTAACACGTGATTCAGCAGGGACTTCTGAGAGTAAGGCTGACTGCTTTTCCTTTTCTGGTATCACAGGGACCTGATGCAGTGTAATTCACTCCTCCTTGTTTTCTGAAAGGGGGAGGGGGCTAGATAATAACTGACATAAGTTGTCAAAGGCTTCTGCACAGTGCTGAACTTGAAGATAATTACAAATCATGTGAAAGCTGACTCCAGTGGGTTAGTCTGTAAACTACTGAGTTCTTGGGCTTTTTTATATTTTCTTTTTTTAATTTTGAATGTCTAAAGAAACTTTTGGAACATGCAACATTAGTAAAAGTTAGACTTTTGTATGCTTCTGAAATAAAGTTATGTGAAGGAATTCTTCCTTGTTGGGAAGAGACAGTAAGTTTTCCTGTAGGTGAAAGTTGTTCACTTCTGCAGTGGATTTTTTTCTTCATCACACACTTGATACATTAAAGCAAGTTAAATTATTGCCTCTTCAGTCAGCTCTTTGTCATGTAAGGAAATCTGGCATTAAGAGTCCCCATTAGAGTGACAAATTGCAGGGTGGCCTGCTGTAATTTGTCTGTTGTGTTTGGGAAATTTGATACTTTGATACTGGTAGAGCAGCCAGGCCTCAGAAGGAAAGAAGAAAGAAGCCTGTATAGAGACAATGTTGTGATTCAGGTATTCAGTCTACTAAACATAAACTGCTTAAATTTTTCTTTGCCAGGCTCCAGATGTTGAGTCTCGTGAAGACCTGATAAAAACTCACTACATGGCCAGGATAGCAGAGCTGACCTCTCACCTGCAGCTTGCTGACAGCAAATCAGTGCACTTCCATGCTGAGGTGAGCATGCAGGCAATGACAGTAAATCTCTTTTTGAACTTCCCACAGGCAAGTGCTATGATAGTGAGTTTCAATATATGGAGCATAATGTTTTATAAAACTCTGCTCCTGGAATATTTTTGATTGTGGTCTAGCGTACATAAAAACGTATATTGTAAAAGAACTTTTTATGTTCAATAAATCCTTTGATAGCCTTGTCTTGGCTGTATTAAGAAATATAATGTGTGTCATGTATAGGTTTGTTCATATAAGCTGAAGCAGCTGGCTTTAGTTACCAAGGAAGTTTTGACTTAATTTTATAGTGTTGCTGATGTCATTCAAAAATATTTGAGTGTATTATGAAGTGATGGAAACAGCTCTCCTGAGAAAATTGGTTCTTAGATATAAGTTATGCTGCAAGACTGAACAAGATGATTCATTGTATCTATAGTTTCCTTTTCATTTTAAGTCATGAGGGAACTTTTCTTGAAAGTGGTGGCTGTTTTGATTTGTGTAATAAACGATGTGGAAAAAACTAAAGCTCCAGGTTAACAGAGGAAATCCTCTTCAATGTTTTTTTTCTTTTTAATGGAAGATGATGTAGTATGGAGGAACCATATTTTCTGTGGTATTTGAGCCTTGTGTGAAGTGAGTTTGTATTGCTTTTTACTTATGAAAAGTTTTGTAGCAGTTACAAGAAAAATATATTTAGAGGACTGGCAATATGGTAGCTCTGTAAAATGAAACATTGAATGTTAGCTATTCCATTGCCTCTGCATTTAAAAATGAACACAAGCTCTGAGTTTCTTGAAATCAAAGTATCACAGAAAGATGAAAAAGTCCAAAGCAACCACTTAAGGATGCCACAAGGCAATACTCTGGAACTGACTTTGATCCCTTGTACCCTCCCTGTCCTGTTCTTGGTAGTGTCGAGCACTTGCCAAAAGACTTTCTCTGGCAGAGAAGTCCAAGGAATCGCTCACGGAAGAGTTGAAGCTCGCCAGTCAAAACATCACCAGATTACAGGCAAGTAAATTGTTCTGTAATGTAATAGATGAATTTTGTAATCATGTATATGGGAAAGTTGGAGCAGAAAAATTACAACCATCTAGCCTGGCCATACCATTACTAAGTCCTGAGTTGTGGACTATAGGAACTCTAGCGGTATGTAGAAAAGAGCCTTAAATCATCCACTTTAAATCCCAGGTATAAAGTTGAAGTGGAACATGCTTCCAAGGAAAGGTTATAGTGGCCAAACCTGTGTGTTTTGGCACATTTGATATCAAGGATTTTCATGAAAATGAGGTAGTTGTAATGTCAAAAGGGGTGGTTGTATGACTGATTTCAGATGATACAAGGAATTCTTAATCCTTTCTTGCACCTGGGTCTGAAAGTTCTAAAAAATGCCGGGTTGATTTGTATTTTTTAATATAGGTACTTTAATATTAAGCAAAGATAGTTTTGGGCTAATCTTTAAGATTTTGTTGTTAACAAAAATCAACTCTTACACCATCCTGTGAGTGTTCTATCCCTTTGTTCTTCTCCTCCACACAGCTGAGAAAGGAACCAGTAGTACAATAAAGTGTAAATAAATACACAATTCCTAAATTCCTTTGTGTTTTCTTTACATTTATTTAATATCATTATTGTTCATCTGTCTGTGATGCTAAGTACCAAAATTGCTCCATACCAGGCCGTGAATATAATGTTAGGAGCTTCAAACTGTTGTGCCCATGGACTATCCTTTTTAAACCCTTTTTTTGATTTGTTCCTTTAAGAAATTCCACAATCGATGTTGAACTCAGCATGAGATGGTAATTTCCAACTGCATATTAAACTTCCTAGGAAAGATAGCAGGCACACACCTTTTGTACATTTAATAGTCTGCATAATACTGAATAATAGACTTGTTTAGGTTGGAAGGGTCCTCTGAAGGTGACTTGTCCCCCTCCTTTGGTCAGAGAGGAGAGAGTTCAGATCAAGCTGTGGAAGTGGATATTTCCTACACATCCATGCTGGTCTTCTGCCACAGTCACTCCATGTCTTAGGCATTGGATTGTTCCTCGTTCTGTTCTTGGTCATTCAGCTTTCCTGGGCCCCTGTAACATCCAGGGCAGTTTTACCTGGGACCTTTCCAAGCAGACCTTGAAGGAAGCCAGAATCTACTCTTCTTGGGACTAGGGTTGCTGTAATTCTGCTGTTCATCTTGCTTCCCTCAGGAACCTAAATTCCACTAGCTCATGGTAGCTGCAGCCAAGGCTGCCATTGGCTTTCACATTCCTGACCAGCTTTTCCTTATTTGTAAGTAACAGGTTCAGCAGAGAGCATCTCTTGGTCCCATTGATCACTGGTACCGAGAAGTTCTTTGCCACACTCAAGACAACTTCTCAGATGCTTATGTTCCACCTTGCTGCCCTTCCAGGATGTGTCAGAGTAATTAAAATCCCTAATGAAGATCAGGGTCTGTGCATGGGAGATTTTTATCTGCTTGCAGCAGATGCCTGTCATATCACTCTATTGTTCTCCTGTGATCCCTGCTTATGAGATTAATAATTTTCAAGCCACTCCTTCAAACAGAGCAAGATTTTTTCCCTTCTGTCCTTCCTGAAGTGTGTGTATCCCTTCATTGCTGTGTTCTAGTTATGCACACTATGCCCCCATGTCTCTGAAATTCCAGAGAGATCATAGCTCTCTCTAGCTAGGTGTGGAGTGGTGATTCCTTCAGCTTTGGATGCCATGTCTGTTCTTCTGCAGGCCATGCTTTAACCCTATAAACATGTTTCCTGGCTGGAAGCAGTGGTGGAAAACTTAGCTCTTACTCTTTTATGTAAGCCATAAAAAGTGTGTATGTGTGGCAGGGAAATCTAAAGGAAGCAACACAAAAATAAAGGGAACAAACCATGCATGAGACTTAAGGTAAAAGAAAAGTAGCTGTTGACTTCCTTAGTTTTTTGTTTTTTGGTTTTTTTTTAGCTGAATTGCACACACTCGGCATCAAAAGTGGAGCTTACTAAGTGGAGGTGGAAGTGTGCTGCTTTGCCAAATATCACTAATACTGAGCCATGGCCTCTGGTTATTTTATTTTTCCCTTAGGATGAATTGATGACGACAAAGAGGAGCTATGAGGACCAGTTAAGCATGATGAGTGACCATCTGTGCAGTATGAATGAAACCTTGACTAAGCAAAGGGAAGAGATTGATACGCTAAAGATGACCAGTAAGGTGAGCTGGCAGTGCTGACACAGGGACCTGGCTGCAGCTGGGGGTGTGAGGGTTACATTTGGTGTTCCTGCAGTACTGCCCTTGGACAAACCAGTTCATGAGCTGTAATTCTTGCACTGAGCCAGCTGGAAAGAAAACTCCAAACTTGCTTCTTCAAGTTCCAGTGAAGAAAAAATTCTTGCTAAGAATTTGGAAAGAACAAGCTCTTCATGTCACTGCCTCACATTAAGCTCTCAAAGTGTATCTTCTGATGGCAGATCACACCACTTTTTGTTTAAATGTGGTGAAAATGGAGCTATTTGTAAATCCAGCTGGTGAGGCTGTGTGGTTACAATTAAGTTCTGGGTAGAAGTGTCCCTTCTCCTTTTGGTTGCAGCATACTCTGTCCTTGGCAGCTGGTCTCTTTCTCTGTTTTATTTCCATTTTCTAGCTCATCTGTCCCTCGTGTAGGAATGAAAAAGTTGCAACTTGTATTCTTCTGTGAACTTAAATTTTTTACCAGGCAAGGAGTCTACCCACTTATCAAAAACAGATTTTTAATTTACCTAATGATGAAAAATACAGAAGTCTGCTTTTCTGAGCAGCCAGTGATTAAAATCCTATTCTGATGCTGCTGGGGAGGAAAAGATGTTGTGAAGGCCTTGGCCCTTTGCTTGTCTGACTGTGAAATGAAGAAATTATCATTATTCTCCTTAATTGTGGGATGCATGGAAGCAAGTCTCACCGAAGGATTAAAAAAATAAAAATAATAATAAAAAATCTATGTTCTGATTAAAGATCCCATGATGGTGATTTTTATTTTTTAAACTCTTCCCCCTGCTTTTCTTCAGATTTCTGAATGTTTTAACTTGACATTGTATTCTTTAAAATTACTTTGTTGTGTATAAGCCATTGTGTGTCCAGAAGGAAGCTCTTGGCTGCATACCCAACATAGCACTTAGTGTTTTTATAAAATGTTTTCTGGAATTTCTCACTTGCCATACTTCTAAGACTTGAATTGGTACTCTGTCTGAGGGACCTCAGAATCACAACAGAAGCCACACAGGTTTTCAAATGTTACAAAATGGAGATTTAGTTGAAATCCAAATGATGCAGTTAAAGCCCTTATCACTTGGAGAGAGTTGTTGGTTGGATTCAAAACAAATGTTATCTTCAGGAAATAGGAGGACTGAGAATTGCCAGCAAGTAACTATTGCACAAAACTTTATTTTAAGCTCCGCATTTCCTGTGTGGAATTACTGCAGGTCAAATGTGAGTTGGCTAGCTGTTGAACAAACTCTGTTCTGAATTAGCAATAATCTGCACAGTCTTAATTCAAATAAAATTTATTTGGGAAAAAAACCCCAATATGATTGGGGACTGATTTTTAATTTGATGCAGTTATTCTATAAGAATTTATTTGGAGTAGCACCTGAAGGTGCATTATGATTTGACTTGCCTTTGCTGCCCTTACAATGTTAGTGGTATTAATACAATTGAGTGTCTTGGGGTGTCTCTCAAATGTCTTTCACAGGTTTCAGTTATAGTAAGGAACTGTTCTGCTTATTTGAGATATTTGGTACTTGGCCCTGTTGTGTTTATAGAAATAGAAGAATTTTCAGAGCAAACATTACAGTCTGTCAAAATTAGAGGTCTGTGGACTGTTTATTTTCAGTCTGACTGTACCTTGTTTGCTGTAGGCATAAATTATCAGGCATCAGATTTTGTATGTTACCTGTCTAGATTTCCTTACCTGATAATGTTCTCTGTGTTTGTTTCTTGTTGCAGGGAAATTCTAAAAAGAACAAAAATCGATAGTTTACAGCTGAGTCTTTGGAAGCTGCTGCTGCACAGGATGCAGATAGTGACCATTCATTATCCAGTTCCTGTTTGTTCCAGGAAGCAGAGGCTGGTATTGGGTCTAGTAAAAACTGAATTGGTGCTGTAAATGGCTTTTAAAATATTTAGAACTTGTAACAGATAAAATAGACCTTAATGTTGGCTGTAAAACAGGAAATACACACACTATGGATAATTTATATAGTAATTACCTTCAGTTTTTACTGTGCACTTTTTAAAACCAGGTTTTGATTTCATGTAACAACTTCAGATTTTGTATATTTTCAAATATGTTTCTGCATTAACAAGTTTGGATTGGTGCAGTAGGTGTCTGTTTTTGGGTTCTACATGTAATGATCAGCACATGTACATTCCATTACTTGTTAATAACAGTTCAGAAATAAATTTGGAGACTTTTTGGCTGTGCAAGCTGTGCAGTTACTGTAAATGTATTACTCCTTTTCTCAGCCCTCTAGAATTAATTGGAATTGTGGTTTGAAATGATTTTTACAAATTCACCAAGTAAATGGGATCATTGTTAGATTGCAGCAGTGGAAACCTTTCCTGCTTGTATCTGGCACTTTGGATTTTGAGGTAAAGAGCACAAATAGCTGAATTCGGCTACTTCAGTGAAATTGTCTTAAGCCATTTCTCTAACTTTTTGTTTACACATGTATGTATATATATATATGTGTATATATATATATATATATATAGGTTGAAATAGCTGTTTAAGGCTAGAGGAAACTGAGATTGTCATTTGCCCCAAAAGAGTGAAACAATGTGTGTAGAATAGATCAGCTTATTGTGCTCTCTTACAGTAAAGAAGAAATATGTAGAAGATTTAAACACTGAATTTGCAAAAGGTCTTAATGGAATTGAGTTGTGATGGATTCACTGGGGGGGATTCACATGGCTTTTCCTGTGTTTTCAGAAGTTTGTGAACTTAAGGCCTCTCCTAAGATTTTTAATTTTTTTCTTTCAAGTGAAATTTAATATCACAAGTTTTCACAGCATTGATTTGTTGTTAGGGGGTGAGATTTGTTTGTGTTAGGTTGGGATTTGTTTTGGTTTTTTGGCTGTATTTTTTTTGGTTGTTGTTTTTTTGGTTTTTTGTTTTTTTTTTTTAAATCAGATGCAGTGCTGCTCCACACTTTCCACACCAATCTTCTGTTCCATAATTTCCATTATGGCACTTATTTGTCCCACAGGGTTTACTCTGATGTCAGATGTGTTGAAATGTATTATCAGTATGTAATAATAAAGTCAACCACATGAAACCAGCTTGACTTTTTCCTTCCTTCTGGCTATGTCCAGGTTGCAGTGTGACACTGTGGCGGGGTGTTCCAGCTGTTGCTGGTGGAGTAGTTACACCAGCCTAGGTGCAGTGCTTCCCTTTGTTCTGATAGTTCTTCCTTTCAGAAGTGCAAAATAGAAGTGGTTGTGAAAGGGAGAGGACATGGGGAGAGCCTGCAGGGTTTCTTATTGATGTTGAATTAAGAGCTGTGTGCTGGTGCTAATGAGGGTTGGGAAGTGTTGGCTGTCTCTCCAGCCGTTTCATGGAAGCAGATACAGCTTCAACTGTTTCATTTAGGATTGGGAAGCTAATTGCTTTCTTCCAGTTCTTTTGAAGCTGCCTTTTCTGAGAACTTTCATCTTGCACTGAAGGTACTAATCCAGTTATTTTAATTCTCTGAATCAAATTACTGAACTGATACTACTTTTACCAATACAGCTTTTCATAGGTTGCTTCATTTAGAAAAATATTTTGCTTAGGATAGTTTTTACATGTCTGAATAAAAATAACTCACTAAGCAGTAACCATGCTCAAGAAGAGACAATTCTGATCACTTAAGCTGCCTTCAGTTTTTCAAGGAAATGTTTTGAGTAAATTCTAGACAAATGTAAACTATCAATACCCAAATCTAAAATCTGGTAAAAGAAATTTAAATCAGTGTTTTGGATACTGCTCTGGTAGTGCTGTAAGGGGCCACAGGACATTGCATTTAACTCAGTGGCATTAGAAACTGGATCAAGTGGAAATACCAACTCCTTGTGCTTATTATTTGCTAACCAGATGATGCTGAATCTTTCTCAAAATCTTAAATGCTGTTAAATGTCTAAATGGCTACTGCATAAGGCTTTTCTGTTAAAAAACTGAAACCTTGTTTCAACATTGCAGCCAAAAATTCATTTTTGAGGCAAAGTTTTACAGAAAAATTATTTTGAATTACTTTGCAATGGTATCTGGAGAGTATCAATGTGCAAAATTTGGACAAGGAAATTTTACTAAAAGAATTATTCTTCAAAAATGTACAGGGTGAATGCTTGCCTTCTAGGTGGTTCATTTGGCAAAACCAGTGAGAAAGTGTTGTAAAGTATAAAAATCTTTAGCACAACACAGTGTGAAACCGGGGTTAAAGAAAAGCCTGAGCATCAGTTACCCTTTTTAATGACAGTTCAGTATGGCACACAAGTTTGTAAAGCATTTTTTGAGTGCTTAATTCATTTTTCCATATTGTTGGGTGCCTCATGAATAATCTCTCACTCTCAGGTTAAAGTGGCTAATTCAGAAAACACAGCACTATTTTAATGGTTTTAATTGGATTTTCAAAAAATCCTTCTGAGCTTTGTTTTAAAGCTATACTAACATGTTCAAGGCTTTCAAAATGTTCAGCTGTCCTAGATTTCTGAAAGCACATCCCCACATTCTGTGTGTTCAAAATAAATATCTGCTGTAATCAGGCATTAATTTAACTTCAAGATTGCCCTCTTAAGAACTACTGCTTCATCAGTTTGAAACTGCCCAAGAAGCACCAAAGCCATTGTCTATTTTAAAAGGCCTTAAGCTCCTGGAGGTCAGAGATTTCCTTGCCTGAAAGCTTAACTTCTGAAACAGGAATCTTAGGCTGTTGTCATAAGCTGTGCAAGGGTGCATCTCATTGCTGTTTGAACAATGATTGTTTTAAATTGCTGCATCTGTGATTCAAACAGCAATCAGCTAAAGTGTTGGTTTAAAGTTGGTGGTGTTTGTCATGTCTCTTGTTAATCCCTTCAGCTTCATTCTGGACCAGTTCAACATTTCATGGTATGATGGTGCCAGATCTCGGTGGATGTAAAATATCCAGGCTGGAACAGTTTGTTTCCCTACCTTTAGCTGTCCATATGGTTATTTTCCCTTTTACCCAAGTAATTTCTAATTTGTATTTATAATCCTGCTGCTCCACTTGCCCTACCTTCCCTTGCTGGCAGATGAAGTTTTGGTGTGAAGGTCTTTAGCCTGGCATGTTTCCTGGATGCTGCCTTCACTGTTCAACAGTGCTTCCTACGACTCCAAAACACCGCTTTGCTCCGGCTTGCAAGGCATCAATTGCAAACAGGAAAGGAAATAAACTTTGTATACACATAGTGCCTATCAGGAGAAGGGAGAAGTTATTTACTGGCTTGGCTGAGCAGTGTCAAGGCTGTGGGGTTTTTTTAATAGTGTAAATCCAATGATATATTAAACTTTGGAGAACTATCTGGCCCAGTAAATTGGGCAAACCTGTTGTTTAATACAGTCTGTATGTAAGGTAATTTGAGAGCACTATCTTAGCAACAGCAGGGTCATAATAAAAACAAAGCTTAGTGCAGTAAAAAAATTGTAATTGCTGCCAGAGGTCTGATTACTTCCTCCCATGAAGGCTGGATGCCGCTCTAAGAATGCTTGTTCTGTCTTACTCTTCATTTTCTGCCTCTGTCACTACCTGCAGTTTTGCTTGGCTGTGAATTCAAACCACGTTTGTTTAGAAGAGGCCATTTTTTCCCAAATTCCTGAATATTTCCTTTAACCAGAGTTAAAAACTTCAATTGCAGTTGTGCCTGCAGTGCTGCCAGCTTGGCAGAGGGGGACAGAGAAGAGCTTTGGGGGACTTTTAAAGCAGGGCCTGAGCGGGTGTGAACTGTTGCACATGGAAACTTGCCTGGGGCAGCACTCATTGTCTGCCTCTGCTGTGTGTGTAGGCAGCCTTAGACACGTCAGTGCTCATTCAGAATCACCCAGCTCCCTACAGAGACAAATACTCGAATTGCTGCAATGCTGAGCTGCAAAAAGAAAATCGATTTTTGATTCTCCTTGGGCTTAATTTGTAGAGTAAGACACCCTACTAAGAGTCCTAAAAGAATTCTGGTTATTAACTTCTTGCATGGAAATAAATTGCAGAGATTGCAGTAGAAAGCATAATTTATCTGTTTTAGCACTGATTCATACTGTGAGTCTAAAACTTTCTAAGCTGATGAGGTCTTAACTACAGAAGAAGCCTTTGAACCCCAGGCCTGGTATCAAAACTGTTCTTGTGGTCTCCTATAAACAACAGGGCTTTTCTCTGGGAAGAGTTAAAACCACAACGCTTAAGAGTCCAGGTAGTTTCCAATTATTTTAGGCACTAGGGATTCTTTCATGAATTGACTTGGCATCTAGTCCGTGGTGGCATGTAGCTTCCTGCAGGCTCTGTCTGTATAAAGTCCTTTGCTTCTGGAATGAGTGTGAGAACACCTTACATCACCACACACACCCCGCTCTGCCCCAGACACAGCCTTCATCCTCGCCTGCTCTCCCTTAAAGCTTCAAGTTTCTTTTCTCTTGGATTTGAAATTCTTCCTTTTGTGCTTGAATAGTGAATGCAGAACATTGTATCCAAGAAGGATCATTTTAATGAAGTTACGAGCTTGAAAAGGTCGGAACTGAGAATTTCAGTGCAGTTTCATTAACTGCAGCCTTTTTTGGCATAGGGAACAGCTGTAATCCCAGAACTGGTGCTGCACCTCTTCTGTGCCTTATCCTTAGTGACTTCTGAATTGTCTGTACCATGTGCAGGGTGGGACAGAAAATATGAACCTGGAGAGGGACAATCAACTTGACCAAAAGTTTCTTCAGAAGTCTGGAAACAAGTTTCTGTTAGGTTATTGATCTAGCCTATGAGCTCAGGAACATTTGAAGCCAACAAGGACTCAATTTCTCACAGAAAGGACATTAAAATCCTAAATTTCTATAATCAATTTATATGTAATAAATATGCATCATTTAAGTAGTGAATGTGATAAGCTTGTAAGTTTTTAATTGCAATTGTACTCTGTGAAAGATGGATTCATTTAATGCGAGGAGAATTTGACTTTTCAAAACAAATACATTTTAGTTAAGATGAACTTTTGCAGAGATTTCTTGCTGAAATAAAAGCAAAGCAGTAGAGGAAGGAGTTAAAATAAGTCTAGAAACAAGTGTTTTTCTGACTCTATTTAGAAATATTTGGTTCTAGCCAGATACGAACTGACAGATTTTGCTTTGATAAAATAGTTGTAGACACTAAACATTTTATTAACAGGGCAATATACTGCAAATCATATTAAGATCAACTTAAATACAGTCAGCAGTGTAAACTGAATTTGTTAGTGTTGTAAAATGTTGAATGAGTTTTATAACTGCCTCTAGCAACATGTAATACCATATCTTTATGTGAAATGCTCTTCAAATTGTATTTACAGTAGAAATAACTTTTAATAGTTCTAATTTGTTCTACGTATACTATTCATCAAAGTCAAATTATTTTAAGTAATTTTAAATCTCAGTACCATTTTTTATTTTTTTTCTCTGGTGCTTGAGTTTATATTGCACTGAATTACTTTGGAAGATAAAGTAATAGTAGAATTTACTGGAGAACAATAGTCTTGTCTTGAAAATGTACGGACTTGTCTCAGCAAAGGAAAATCTGATCTATTTTTAGATATGCATGCTTTCATAAGGAGATATGACAAATTAATACCCTACCCACTTGAAAACCATTGGGAAGAGCTAATGTGGAAGCTAAACAGGAAAAAAAGGTTTCATTGAATGCTGTGAAGGAGTACATGAGAGTTTGAAGAACTCATTTTGGAGTACGTAGAAAAATATTAGAGATTATTTCAAATTTCCTGGCATTTTGGCAAAACGGGAGGTATCGATCCACTGGTTCCCTCTGCTGAGAGGTTGAGTGTGTCCTGGGAGAAGGCAGAGACTGCATTGTTTATGGAAGAAACAATTTTTATGGAAATACAATTTTGACATCAGGCCTGGATTTCAAGGGAAGAAGACTTAGAGGGATGGAATTCCCAAGGGAAGAGGCTGGGATGAGGTTCTGGTGCTTCCTGAGCTCTGAACCTGGAGGCCTCAGTCTGGCAGTGCTCAAGAGAGGCCCTCAAGGAGAGAAGAATGTGACAATTCCCTGGCTT